TATATATATGTGTGTGTGTGTGTGTGTATATATATATACTATTTGTGAGGACGCAACTCTGGGCTGGCTCTTAGAAGTGTTTGTGCGGGAGTATCTGTGCTGTTCAAGCACCATAATATACAGACTTCAACATAGTTTAAGGACCACTTGCAAACCCTCTGAGTGGTCTTAGGTCGATCTGCACGTGGGCGTTCTTGGACTGGTCCACTGGCTTGATGTCGCTGCCTCAAGCGGAAAATGACACAGTGTGACACTGATAGCCTTCTGGCAACTTATCGGGCTCCAACTCCTTCCTACAGCTATGCCATAGCTCTGGCACAGTCAAAGTCTCTCAGCTTTCGTCTGGGTGGCATATTGATGCAATACTGGATTTTGCGCAAACCTTGGCTTAAATTGCCACCAAAGGAACTCACTTCGAGACCGTACGCCCGTTTAAAACGTGCACCAGAAATTTTAAGAGAGGAATGTCTGTGGTGTTGCATACAAAGTCGATGAAAAACAGCAACTTTGACTCAAATTCCCCGAGGATTTCCGTGCTGCACGTGGTGGTTTTTCTCCTTTAGGAAGCTTTGCAGTACGCATTGGTAATCCATTAACACTTTCAAAGCAAACAATTTTGAAACCTTCCTTGCTGTCTTTTTTCATATTTAAAAAAAAATCAAGGCTCCCTGTCAAAGCGGTCCTTAACTTATGTTAAAGTCTGTATGTGTCACGACTCAGTGGACTCTGGCGCTCGTCAATTGAAAGGCACATGGAGTCATTGGTATAATTATAAAGCTTATTACGGCCCAGTGACAGAAATATGCAATGTTTCACCCTTGATAAGAGATATGTGCACGGCCTGTACTCTTTCATTATCGAAACTTTAAAAAAATATTTTTAAAAAATAGTGTTTTATATGATGTGATGTGGACCAATGGCTTTAAACACTGACTAAACTTACTTACTTACTAAAGCTTATTAATAGGTTTTCCTTTAGAAGAAAGAATAACCATCTATCTAAAATAGAATGCGAGATGTTTGCTATTGAAAGTGACAGGGGTCGCATCGTGTCAGAGGAAATATGAGCCAGAAAATGCCCTCCGAAGTTTGTTGATTTTCAAAATTCGAGCGTCCTTGGAAACTGCAATTAACATTTTTGAACTTTTGATCAGTAAAATCAACACAACAATTAATGTGTTTTTGGTTGCACATAAAAGGAACTGAGTCAAAATTATAATCAAGAAATTTTGCCCAACAGGTAGAAAAATAATGTCGGTTTCTTCGATTTCATAATTTTCACGAACGCCTGGTTTCGCCACGTGATATATGCCATATCACCCCCCTCCACCCCCCACCCCTACCCCCAAACACACACACACACACACACACACACACACACACACACACACACACACACACACACACACACACACACACACACACACACACACCACACCAA